CCTATAATATATCGACTTTTCGGCAGTCAGTACTTTTTTATCGGAAATTTCCTCCTCTTCAACGAGCTTTTTTCAAAATTGCTTAAATATTAATATTTTTTGAGTTATTAACGAAAAAGTAAATACCAATTTTTTAAAATCTTATTTTGTTAATAACAATTGCAACTATTTACCTGCACCAAAATCCTTCAAAAACATTCCGAATCGAATGAGCTATCGCTCAGATTTTTACGACCTTTATCTCTATTTTTCATGTTTTTGATCTTGTTGATTAGACTAAATAAAAGTATATCGTTTGAAGTTCATGGGAACGGTCACCGAACTTTCAGATACTTAGAAGTCTGGAACATGAAACGGAACTTTAAGACGTTTTAGAGTAATTGAAAATAGTAGAGTGTTAACACTTCTGGACTTGTGTTGCACTGTTTGGAACTTTTGGTGTAGTAATGTATATTACTGGAGTTTTATCCCAACACCAAACCGTTATTTTCTGAATATCAGAGTGCAACATTATCAATTTCAGAGGAGTTCATTTTTGAAATCTCAAAACAGAGTGTAAGAACTTCAGAATTTGATAACCAGTTATCCAATTCACATTACGACATGTTTTTCTTTTCTCTTTGTTTTTGTTTTGAGTTAGTTTTTTGTTGATCAATTAGTTTACATGATCAAATTCATTCAGCAGTTTATGTTCATATATTTCGTTCTACCGTTTCCTACATTAAGAGCATTTGTATGCACTTTGTTGTCATATCCTATATTGAGTTTAGGAGTATTTACGAATAACTTTTCGTTCTTAAAAATTGAATTATTTATTGAAAACTGGTCAGTTGTCCCTTGTTCATTGAATTCAATATTTTTTTGGCAGAGTTCATTTTTAAAACCTCAAAATATTTTGTAAAAATTGCTCAATTTGATAACCCCGTTATTCGAATTACACTAGGACATGTTTTTCTTAGTCCTATGGTTTTGTCATGAGTCAGTTTCATGCTGATCAATTATTCAAGGTATTACATGATTTGATTTATTAATCAACCTTCTTTTTTTCAATAAGTAGCTTTCAGTGATGTAACAGATTTATTTATATTAATGAGACCTAATGCATGAATTTATTCAATTTATAGTACCAAATAGTACAAACAGTCATATTTCAAACTGAATCTGTTTTCACCCCAATTGAAAACTTATTATCTCCACTACACTTTTGATGATCTTATAATAATAATAATAGTAAAAGTTATGAATACTGAGTCAGCTGAATTATTTCATTTCATTTATANGATTAGGAATTACTATACTGAATCTCATTTAGTATATTTCATACAGTATATTTTCTACCACCTGGAAAGTAATAATTCAGTGACACTTTTATCAAACTAAAAATTATTGGACACGCTCACGTCGATGTCTGAACTAGAACTGATTCGTATGCACCTCAAGTAATCAGATAAATGTTTTTGGAATTTTCTTTCTCTAGCTCCGGTACTTTTCTGAAAGTCTACGTGGAGTACGTAATTTATTTCTATAAAACATGCTCCATGTTGATGTTCAATGTCATAACTGTTCGCTTGTCCTATTAGTAATAATATAAAATAGTGAAAAATCTGCAACCTTCACTGAAATTACTGGAGAATGAATGCACAAAAGAATTCATAGTGAAACCAGTTCATCATAATTCAGTGACTTTTCAAAGGCTTTTGACTGTGTAAATCACGAGATACTGTTGCGAGAGCTTCCATGCTACGGTTTCAGAGAAACTACTCTCAACTAAGTCGAATATCGAAGTAGTAGTTATTTCTAATTCGTTAGGCTATCGATGAATTGAGATTTAACAGATATCACGTGTGGTATACCGCAGGATTCTGTATTAGGTCCGATTTTATTTCATTTCTACTTTACCTTGAGTATGTAACTTTGCTACCAATTCTACATTGTTTGCTCACGATACTTCATTGTTGAGCCATCGCACAGATGAAAACAATTCACATGAAATAATGCATACAGACATGGTCGAAATCAAGGACTGGTGTGATTCTAGCTTCTGTCCTTCAACACCAAAGAAAGAAATGTAATTATTCTCAAATGTGCTATAGCAAATGTGTGCCTGGAGGATCAGATATTCGAAAACAGAAGTACAGCCAAATTTACATGGATGTTCTTGGACAACAATCTTTTTTGGGCGCATGTAACAAAATCGGCGGTATATAATAATTTGTATATAATAGACTGTACCCATAATTCACAAAAATTTAATTGATTGTCAGAAGAAATGACATATGTTATAGCACTCCCCAACATTTTGATCTCTCTTTCCCCACAACCAATCTAGTCGAAGAAAATTTGATTTATAATGGGGTGAAAATGTATAAAAAAGTACCAAATAGAACCAAAGGGAAAAACTAAAGGAATAAAATATATCTGTAGAGATATGTCAACGAATAATAAAAGTATGGAACAAACTCAGGTAAATATTCGTTTTGAGGGCAACCGGAGATTTTGAAAAAATTTTTGAGTATACTTACGTATTTTGATGCGTAGATTACGAATCCGAAAGAAAAAAGCGGCGCTATCTATCAGTCAAAATCACCAATG